CCTAATCCATTCCACTATGGAGTGGTGAGTGCCACGCCTGCCCACAGCTAGGCATATCGATTCAAAGGACGTATTGTCAAATGCGCCTTCTGTATCCAAGAAGACTCCCAAGATGCACTGTCCTCAGTCCAGCGCTCCCTCCACTCTGTCAACTAGGTGGTGCAGCGCCGTCTCCGTAGACTTGCCCGCTTGGTAGGCATACTGATTATGGTGCAAGGGAAATTGCACCAGTGCCTCTTCTCTGATGTGCCGGTCTACCACTCGTTCCATCGCCTTCAGCATGAAGCTGGTAAGGCTGATTGGGCGAAACGATTTCGCCTGCAGGTAGTCCGACTTTCCCGGTTTGGGGATGAACACTACTCTGACTGCTCTCCAGGCCTTGGGTATGTATCCCAGAGCTAGGCAGTGCCTAAAAATAGCCAAGATGAGAGGATATAGGCTTTCAGGAGCCCTTTGTAGGAGCCCCGGAAACACCCCATATTCACCTGGCGATTTGAATGGTGAGAAGGTATCTATAGCCCATTTCACTCTTTCATATGTGATGCCCTTGGACGCCAGCTTATAATCAGGCTTAGGGCCCGCCACGCGCACAGCGTCTCTGGTCCTTTGAGGATCCATGCGTGATCCAGGGAAGTGTGTCGCCAGGAGGAGGTCCAACGTCTCGCGGAGGTGGTGTATCCCCTTCCTGGCACAGCTATCGCCCCTATCTTCGTGCATGGGTCTTTTTTTAGGACTTTGCAGAGTCTGGATGCTTGGGCCACACTGTTAATTCCATCACAGTAGGCCCTCCACGTGTCCCTCTGTGAGATCTTCAGGGCTTTTTTGTAGCCCCTTTGGGTGGATCTGTAGTCTTCCCAGTGGACCACATCTTGGGTCCTCTTGGCTATGTTTAGAAGATTGCGCACCTTTTTACGGTGGTCTTCTATATTAGAATTCCACCATGGTGTTCTGCCGTTATTCGATTTTTGGACGATAGGACAGCTGGCCTGAAACGAATCGATGATGGCTTCATTGAGGCAGTTGACTGCCGTCTCAATCTGACTTACATCGAAGCGACGGGGCTGCATCAGCCCCAGTCTGCCAGCTAGCTCCTCTTTATAGGAGTTCCAGTCGGCATGTCTGGGGTTTCTGCGTCCCGTTTCAGGAACTTTAGTCATTCCCTCGATTCTGAATAGAATGTGCCTGTGGTCTGACAGAGAGTCTTCCAGAGACACCCTCCATTCGGTAATATTTTGGCGAAGTCCTTTGCTGCATAGAGTCAGATCTATGACTGACTGTCGCCCTGTTGTGAAAAAGGTGGGCACTGACCCTCTATTCACAATATCCAGGTCGTTCGAGTATAGATACTCGAGAAGAGCCCTGCCTCTGGGGTTGACGTTCTCGCTAGCCCACACCGTGTTGTGGGAGTTTGAGTCGCAGCCAATGATCACCGGTAGTCTTGACGCTCTGCACTCCTCCACGAGCGCGACGATCTCCCTAGGAGGGCTCGCCACGTCCTGTGGAAAGTAAGCAGAGCAGATAACGACATCACCTTTGTGACCTTCGATATCTATGGAGATTTTTACCGCCACAAGGTTCCTGGTGAACGTACCTGGCATAGGCAGCACTTCCACGCCTTTAGCGTAGATGCAGGCCCTGGGTTTTTCTGTGGAGGTGCAGTAGTAGGCCGTTCCTCTACCTCCTCCCAGCCCTCTAATCGCACCCTTATATACCCAGGATTCTTGGATCAGAGCTACGCATGTGTTGGCAATAGCCATTTTCCTACACAGGAGTGCCGAAGGAGCCCTCCCGTGCTGCAGGTTTGCCTGTAAAAAAATTACAGGCATTATTCTGAGCTACCATCCTCCTGGTTGACGGTATCGGCATCGTTCTTGGGCTCTCCCCCTTCAGGTTCCTGATTCAGGTCCATTGCCTGTTCCTGATCAGGCTCCTTGTCTGGGAGTGCCCCTTCTGTCAGCAGGTTTGCATCGTTCCTTGCTGTGCTGGGAATCTCAGGGATCCCATGCTGGCCAGAGGGCTTCATGGTCACCTGAGCCCTCGTAGCACTGTAGTAGAGCTGATGGTTGACTCTACTAAGGTAGGCAACGGATGCATCATCCATGCCCACGACGAGCCGGAGACCGTTCGGTTCCTCTCGTCCTTTCCACACTCTCCAGCGGGTACATTCGAGCCCAGGGTTTTGTTTCTCCAGGCCCTCAACGTATCCTCGTTGGGTTTGTGCTTTTTTCGGGGATCCAGATCAAGGCCTTTTTGAGCCTGTACCTGGCTGGATCCACCGCAATAAGTTGGACGTCGTTGCCCCAGGGACTTAGATTGGTTAATTCCCTGAGCAACCAGTCCCTTGAAACTGGATTCGCTGCTGTGACCAGGAGTCCCCTCCACAGCCTCGTCGACTCAAATTGGAGCGCTGTGCCGCTGCCCGTGGCGGCTTCGGTCACAGCCTCACCGATGGAGTTCAAGAATTCTAGTAGGTGGTCGTTGGTGAGGTCGGTATCGACATGGCCGTCCTGAGTCACCACCACCTGCAGGGAGATGTCCTCCACCACTTGGAAGTACTAGACCCGTCCAGGACCGCTTGTCGCGGTCCTTGGACGTTTGGTCTGATGCCCCCTGGTGGTGTGGCACCTGGGGTCCTCAACCTTTTATTGGTTAGGGGCCCCTTGGCAACATTGTGGGGTGATGGATTGCCTTTGGCCGGCCTCTGTGCACCCTTGCGGGAGCCCTGAAGTACAGCTGCGGCGTCCTGGTTACCAGGCTTGTTGCCCTGAATAACCTCCCCACCTTTCTTGGGCTGCGGTCCTGAGGCACCTGTGCGGGAGCCTCCGGATACCGGCTTTGAGACGGGGTCTTGTTTGTAACCCATCATTTATCCCACGTAACAAAAATATATCAAATTATTGATTTTTTAAATAAATACAGGAGAAAGCAACGAATGGTTGATTTACAATAAAAAATATAGGTGTTCACACTAAAAGAAAAAAAAGCAGTAGGAGAGAGAAAAGAATTTTCTTCGCAAAGGGCTATTCACTTATATATAAATTACCAACTGTCCAGTTGCAACTATATTCAACCTCCAGGAGGTAGGTTGTAAGCTACAAAACTGTAGTTTTGTGCTCTGAGCTGAACGAGAAGGACCAAAAAAGATTTGGTACTTGGGTAAAATTAACTATGTTTATTTTTTTAAACTTTGCGTTACTTTTCCGTCCCTTTAAGCACAGAACCATATGGCGACTAATGTAAGCGCTGGCTACATAAATACCATATATCTGGCGACTCATACAGCCTGTGATTATAGTTCCATATTTAATTAATGAAAAATGTTATAGAAATAAACCAAAACAATACTCTACAACTTTATTCTCGTCGCTCTAGTCCAACTATTTGGTTTTATATTTTTTGCAGAGTCCACTATACACCCAACGCCTGGGGGGTAACATGCCATCTATATTTAATGTTGCTTTCTTAAAAATCCCGGACAAGAAAATTTCCAAGAACGTAAAATAAATATTTCAGGCCAATTTCCACCGGTTAAACATATTTATTTAACCCTACTTCGGAGCCAGGTTGAACGCCCTTTATTAAACGAAACGCAAAGAATATTCTCAACACCTCGACTCCTCCGCGTAACCCTTCTAATCTAGTAAGGGCCTTGTCGCCGTAAACTTAAACATATTGACGCAATTACGGAAATATCCAAGTTGCGCGCGGACACATTTTCCTGAAAGGGAAATGAGTCTCATTCGCACACACCGCAAGAGAATATCGCTTTTTTTCTTCTAGTTTTTTTCATTAAATTCGCCTTTACTGCTACACATAACATTACAATGATTTTCATTTTATTAGACGCGAGGAAAATGTAATTTACTTTTCCCAGTGAACGTTTCGTGAAAGAAAATAGAGGAAAATGAACAGTGCATTGCCTATATTTTAGTTTTAACGATCTTCCATAGCGATACATTTTTGAATTTTAATGTAAAATGTACGATTTTTCACACTAGTGCATAATACTTGAATATATGATTGCTTTTTGTATGATAAAAAATAATTGGTTCTTTTTTTTTTAATAAGTGTCAAGCAAAGAGGCGCAAAACTGAATTTTTTTGCAATAAACTACAGCACAAGTCGACCTTCTTCCATCTACAGTGCAAATATTTCCTTACATATTTGAAAAAGCTTTTATTTTGACGTTATGTAAGGAAGGCACTTCAAAAATGTTGTCAGCCAAAATTAGGTTTTTGTTCTAGATCAAATATTTACACGAGAAATTCAACATAAAACTGTAAATACTATCCATGGTATGTTTTTGGAGTTAACTTAACACAATGTTTTTTGCATAAACTTCTACTTTAAATGCTAATGAAATGAGCGATAGAGAATTAATATTGCGGTCCAAAGGAAAACTAATTTTTGCTCTTATTTTACAAAGAAAACACAAAATAAGAAAATAAATTACAAAGCCTTTTCCAAAAGCTTTTCATTACATCACGCTTAATGTATCTCTGCCATACAGCGCTAATCTGAAATTTCGAATAGGCATTTTTTTCCTCCGTTGTTATCTTTGGCACATCATACACAAAAGAAAACCAGGGGCGAAAACAAATTACCTTCCTTGTACCACCATTATTGGAAATTTAAGAAAATTTAAACCATTTAACTCTTCCCCCATTCTCTTTTATGCGCAATAAAAAGAATCATAAATCATCTTCTTTTTGAGGCTGCTTGCTCTACACTCTGTGCCAGAACCGGGGCGTTTTATAGTACACCCCCGAGATTTTTGTTGAGCTTTGCCAAAAACGTATCAGTAAATGTAATGGTATATGAAAAAATTTAAACATTTTGGGTGATTGTTCGAGGAAATTTACGTCAATGGTAATTGGGCCTATTTTTTTTTTTGAAGCTTGGGAGTCAATTTTAAGCTTGCTCCGGCACTGTAAAATTTCCTCGTTCCTCAAAAATCCTCCCCGAGCTCTTATTTATTGGCTTCTCTGTTTCTATTTTAGATCCGCCGCAAGTGGTCCTCCATTTAGGCAGCACCCTCAACGCGGAGGACATAAAAGAAGGCGACGACGTTTATTTTGAGTGCAACATTAAGGCGAACCCCAAACAGCACAAAATTACCTGGTATCACAACGTAAGTATCGTCTGTTTTCGCATTTCGACGTCGAAAAGACCAAATGTGACCAGCCAGTTTATACGTTTTATGGATTTACGCTAACGATGATGACGGTTTTGTCAGAAACGCTAACGATATTTTTGTGGTTTCTTTATTGGTTTTCGCTCGATGAGTTTACTTTTAAAATGTTTTGAAATTAGTTTGAATATTTTTTTAAACATAATAAACGGGAGAAGCTTTTATGTTCGATATGCCAAGTTAGGCAATACAATAGAGTGGGTACACTGAAGGCCGATTCATACCATAGGTCCAGTCACGGTCTGATTACGATCCGGTTACAGACACATCAAGTGTGTCAGTGTTCACATGGCACAGTCAAGTCACGATACATTTATTCTACGATCATTATATTAAGCAGTAGTGAATAATAAAACCTATGGCAATTCCCGAATATCTTTTATATTTTCCCCTTGTTTATAGTATATCTTTATATACAGACTAATGATGATCTACATATTGCTTTCCTCATATAAACGTAGACTGTTATTTGAAATCCGTGGAAAGTTAGGTCTCTCATTCTAGCACTCTATAGCCTTTTTCAGTCTATAAAAGGACTTTTGAGTCCAGGGTTTTCTCATCAGTTTGTACTACTTCAACAGAAATGTTTAGAAATTCTTTGTCTACGTTCAGTTGCCTCATGACCTGCTTCGGGCAAACAGAATCATAACTCTTGATTATTATACAAATTCTGGAAAAACTTCCTCAAACATTTTCTCCTAAAGCCCTTCTACTACAGTTATATTAGGCCGGAAAAAGCAGCATCTGCTGAAAAAATCCGAGTGAGCCTAAATTTTGTCTACACCTTTATTTTAACTCAAGAAATAATGTCTTAAAAGTCCCCGTCAATATCGCGCTTGCGTTTTCAGATATTCAAGGTCAAAAGACATGAACATCATTTAATTACGATTGGTTGCCAAATGACATTTGCTTCATTGGTTATCTGTCAACTATGATCGACCGGTTAATCGCATTTAATCGATGTAAGTCAGTTCATATCTATTCGGCAAAAGGTCCAGACGTTTCGTTTTGTAATTTAATTAGTCATCACGATGGATGAGTCCTGTTTTACTTGCAGTTAATCGCTCTTGAAAGGTGTTACTGTGACTGTAAAACGCGGTATAGATTCTTTAAGAGAAGCTAGTGTGGAAAGAGAAGATGAACATGCAGAACGTTTAAGGGATTTTATAGTAGCATCTAAAAGTCCCCTCACATTCTCGAAAGAAATGTGGTGACTAACTTACCTTGCACTTGTATCGCGTATCAGGCTGACAATACTTTGCGTGGGTCCCCTCACTATCGGGATCGCTTTAGGCCGCCAGTGGACGAGCCCCCCTTGTATTGTTGGTGCGAGCTGCTTACGAACACGAAGAAAGAAAAGAAAGAGCCAACGATTAAATCCTTCGGGCGCGAAATAGGGTTTTCGGAAAATCCAGTTCGTCGTAAGGCAAACCCGCATCAATCCTCGAATTGAAGGTTGGTGTCCTAAGGGAGTAGCATAGTGTTATCTAAAAGACGACGAGATGGCGATGCTGCCGGTACATCTCAGTATTTTCTTCGCAAAACACGCTCTAGCTTGAGATCTTTTGATTTAAAAACTTTGTGTTTTTTTTTGTGGTGAAGAAGCCAACAAGGAAGCAAACAAAAAAAAAACTAGAAAAAATCAATGTATAATTAGAAGTTTGGCAATGAGCGGAGAACCACGCAACTTCCTCTTACAACACCAATCAAAAAGATCTAAGGGTCATGATGGCTTAATTGGTTAGAGCGTAGCACCGGCAATGCTGAGGACGTGGGTGAGTTCGAATCCCGCCCAGGACCAAAATTTTCAATCCTCCAATTTTCCTTAGCTTTCTTGCCATTTTCAATTTCCACGCTTTTCGGTTGTTGTAACCGACAAAACTTCATTCCTTTTCGACCATGATTTGTTTCCGCGATACTCAAAGTGATATTTTAAGTAAAGCTTGGTATGAAAATGACAAATCTCAACCAGCAAAAGAACGCCATCGAATTGTACAAACTGTGACCAAATTATCAGAGAAGACATTCGTTTCATGACTGTTGATTGTCAATCTTATCCTCCTCCCAGTAGAATGTTTCATATTCTTAACGAAAACATCCCACATACTTTATTGAAGAATTAATTCTGAAAAACAAAAAAGGCAAAACTGACAATCTTAAGTGTAAGTGTACCGCTATTTGTCATGCTATTATGGCTACGACACGTGCAAGATCCTTCACACCTAACCTTTTCTAGATATTTTGTCAACTCTTGGATTCAGCGCGTCGTATAGAGAAACATTAATGTATGAAGTTGCTGCTGTCTACCATCCGCACAACCAGATATTCTATCATTTGAAACTGGTGCTCTTATTCAGTATTCAGCAGACAATGCAGATATCAATGTCTACAAAATAGATGGCCACAACATGCTTCACATTATGTGGCTTATTAAAATAGTAACACCAAGCAGCGCCGTTGCTTCTAAAGAATCCATTAAGAAATATACCACGATGTAACGGTCAACCCATCGGTCGATACCGATACCAAAATAAAAGGCCTCTCGGTGAAACGGGGGACGGATGATGACGTAATCTTTACGGTCAGTTGCTGATGCGCAAAATGGTCCCTGCTCGGGTGCCATATTTGTAACGGGTTTTCCTAGGTTTTTCCTTGAGCTGTGGCAGCTTAACAGTCAGGATTTATCTTTTGGTTAATCCAGCGGTAATCTCGGGTGCCACTTTTAAGATTATAGTGGTTGAGGGCCCATTAGCACCAGGTAGCTTGTTACAGTGGAGAAAGAAAAACCAGGGACAAATGCGCAGATAAAGGAATAAAACAACTATCGAAGAAATAAGCCCTAGGTTCAGCACCAGTCCCCGAAAGCTTCTAGTGACAAATTCAGAATCGCGTGTCTCAGCGGGGTAGAAAGTATAACTGATCTATGTCCGTACGTTCAACCAGGACATAAGGATTGCGGTTATCCTGCTGAACTTGTCTGTACAGCCGAGACTTTTCCTGATCAGTCTACCCACTACCCAACTCTTTTAGGTACGGGGCACGGTATTTCGGAACCAGAACTGAACGGTACAAATGTTAACACCAAATACATTATGGGCCGATGCTGTGTTTAATATTAACATTTGTACGTCGTGGAAGAGGGGACAGATTACGAGAATGAAGATGGCACATTCTACATCTAAAAGTCACAACAAGAAAGATCATGGATTAGGCCTACAGTAAAAATACAATGTAAAAAAAACGCGCCTTGCATCTCACCTCTGGGGTGGTGTGGAAACGGGTGCTACCCTATGTTTTTGGCGTATCACGTGGAAACGGTTGGTATGACATAAAATATGTGAATAACATTTTTTGAAGAGAAATTCGCAATATTTTTAGCCAAAATAGTCGTAGGACATACCGAAAGCAAAATATTTAAGAAAAAGTCATTTCTGTGATATTTGACCTTGAATATCTTGGAACGCAAACAAATTATCGGTGGGGACTTTTAATACATTAATTATTGGGGTAAAATAGAGGTGTAGACAAAATTTAGGCTCGCTCGGATTTTTTCAGTAGATGAATCCTTGTATGGCTGTACTATTCAGTTTCGAATCAAGTCTTTTCAACTACATTGTATAGTATTTCAATTTTCCACTTTCTATCAATTGCCTTGAAACTGATAATTTATCAACTATTTTCATCTCTTCTAACTGGTTCATTATTCAAAAAAAGGCATTATAGGGGGTGTGCGCCAAAAATTAAAATTTTAGTGTAAAAAAATCTAAGAATAACGGTTCAAACCTCGTTATTCTACGATAAACCATCGCTGAGATATACCGCTTTAAAGTGTGTGTGACGTCACGAGAGCTTCGTCCAGCCTCACTCCGCATTGTTAATTTGATTGTTCCCGGCACGCTTGAGTGGTTTTTGTTTCGATTATTGCATGTGACACAGGAAAAACATATGTAAATTCAATTTACTTCACTTTCTCGTGCATCGCTTGAGCTTTCGTGACGTCATAGGGTGAGATTCGGTACCTTCATAAAGCCATATCTTCGGTATTATTTGTCATAGAGGGGTGCGGTTTTCACTGTTATTCTTAGATTATTTTCCTATTTTTTTTGAAATGAAGTTGTTTTTTTGGCGCACACCCCCTTTATGCAGTGTATAATATGATTTATACTAATTTATTATACCCTTATTTATTTCTCTTTCACGCCATTCAAAGATTCTGTTTTGATTCTTCAATCAATTATTCGCTTGCCTCAATTCGAATAGATTGTAGATTGCATTTAGAGTTGTTACATGTTCCAGCCGCTCAAGCACTACTACCTCTAGTTGGTTTTCAAGATTTGTGGGCTTCCCGCAAAGGAGGCCAGCTTCCTGGGTGGTAAAATGCCCACCTCTTGGGGTGTTAGCCGTACCCCTTCAAGATATTTCAGCTTTTTGCAGAAGTGAGCAGGGCATTCAGAGATTAAATTTCCTGTAGTATTTGTTGCTTGTTCGCAATATTAGACCCTGAGATAGGGCCTGTTTAGTGGAGTCATTTTTTTTTGTCTGAACTTTTGAGGGATGAATGTGACTAGTTAGCTAATGAGAATATAAGTGGTTTTAATGCCTGCCTCCTGTTCGAAATGTCCACAGAATGTTTCGCCGGAAAACTCGATTTCGAACTGTGATTACCGTCTGGCGATTTTTCAGCGTTATTTTCACAACAAAACCTTTCATTCTCTCGATTGCCAGACATAAAGTAAACACGGAAGGTTCTTTTCTTTTCTCTTGGAAGTTGACACTTATCCCCATTTTTTCAGCTATTGAAAAGCATCTGACATTTTTCATGGGTGAATTATTTATCAATGTCAATCTTTTATTTAAAAGCTAGAAAATTTGAAATCATAAAAAAAAAATTTCATGTAAATCAATTTTTTTCTTCTGCAAATTTTCGAACGGGAGGCTGG